CACGGCGGCGGGCAGTGCCAATGGCCCAGGTGCCCACCGGGACCCGCCGGGACGGACGGAAGGCAGCGCGGGGCCGGAGCGGCCGCAGCCGGGAGCTCCCCGCGCTGCCCCGGAGCAGCACCCGCGACTGCAGCACCAAGAGAACTGCCAGCCTGGGCGGGCATCGCACCCGCTCCCACCTGCTTGGTTAAAAACAAACAAACAAACAAACACGCAAGGCTTCTCATTTTCTGACGCACTGGACTTAGATTAGACACGTTGCCAGTTAAAAAATGTATTTACAATTCCTCCCCTTGCTCACAAGTGGCCATATGCACAAGAGAGGGAGGAATGAAGGTTCTGGCACAGAGGGTAATTATCTTATAGCACGCAGCAGGGTGTTGTTTTTAAATCAGCGACAAACTGGAGCAAACACACCAGCCCCAGAGCTGAACGGCACCTGCATGAAAGCACAGCAGCAGTCCTGCAGGCACAGCTCAGGAGGTGAAGTACAGATTCAGAGGAAAGGATCATGTACCTCTATGTTTTCAAAAAAAGGTCCCCAGGTTTCATAAGGCACCCAAGCTCTGGTCAAATAGCAGAAGTGAAAGTTTCTGTTTTAAGTAAGGAGGGGAAAAAACTTCAACAGAAGGATTTCAGCAGTTTGCAGTGAGGGTTGTTTTTGAGACAGCACATAAAGTACTGACAGGCTCTGCAGTCTCTGACAAACAGCACAGTCATGTTATCTACAAGGTACACTAGTTCCAGTATCAAAATGCCTATGACAGAGGCTGGGGTTTCAGCCTGGACTTTCACCCACAGCCTTTACCTTGCTCTCTTCAAAGTGCTCTGATTGCTTCAGCTGCCTTTTGCTCTCGTGGCTTGGTAGTGCTCAGCTTTCAGATGCAGGGGCTCTGCTGCTCCACAGGGAACAGAAGGGCTCATCAGTAACTCTGGATTTACTAAAATTTCTGCTAGAAAGGAGAAGGACAGGAATGACTCATTTTCACATCCCTGTATACGTGAATGCTTCCTTCAAGTTGGGTAACACCCAACACCCACTGCTTAAACAGCCATCTTTTCATGAATACAAAAACATTTTCAGAAGGGTACTGGTTACAGGCCTTATCATGTACAGTGTCCACGCCAGGTTGGAGCCAAAAATTCTTTTCACACAGGCACATGCAAAAGGTAGCCAAAGTGGTCCGCTTTGGGAAGGGCATTGCACAGTGATAAAGCCCTGACCCAACCGCAATGAGAGATCACTAGTTCCTGTTTTGGAGAGAGAAAGGATGGACAGCAACCAACAGCCCTCTCTCCACCTTTAACTTAGAGGTGCTTAAGCAGAGGTATCCCCTGTATACTAGCTGAAAAAAAAAAAAAAAAATTTTAAAAGAATTAAAAATCACATTCCAAAAATGAGAAATGTATTTATGTAGGCTAAATCTCAACATTCTCAAAGAAAAAAAAAAAAAAATTACCTGCAGGGAAAAGAAGAGTGGTAATAAGAAAGAGGAAAAATGATGGGAATGAGAAGAGACTTATTGCAGTAGCATATACACAGCTTTCACGATAGATTGCTATTTTACATTTTGAATGTAGCTTTTGCCAAAGTCATATATCTTAAGCCACCAATGTTTTAGGATTAAAGAAGAGATCATCTGATGTTGTTATTCAGTAGACAGATAGATATTGGACACAAGGAAATGTTAGCAGCAACCACCCAATTTATTCTCTATGTTTAATCAAAATATTTTTGTGTCAGTCATCCTTTCCTCAGGATTGTTTCTGTACCTGGACTGCTGCTGAATTCTTTAGATAGGTTAAGAGGTTGATTGCCAATGATCTATTTCATTAGTAAACCTAAATAATATATTAAGTGTTTTACAGAGATGTATGGGCCAATATTTAGTTCCAAAATCAGTAATTTGCTGGGACTAAGTTACTGTGTTCAGTGTAAAATGGAGTCAGACTGGGCGAGAGGGCAGAGGGGAGCAGCCTGTGCATAGGAGGCAGGAAGGTCATTGGAAATTGCTGAACCACGATCAAAGAGTTGCATATTTCTGTGTGCTGTATGCAACACATGAGCCTTCCTGCACCTGTAGGGAGCAATCAGAACTGTTTTACAGGGTAGTGCATAGGTTTCTTTTAAATCAACAGAATTTTTTGAGTTCAGTGAAGGAAGGACTATGTTGTGGTTATGACAAGGTCACAGAGCGCTCAGCTCAGTTCCCTCTTACTGAAGCCAAGCAAGTGATTCGATTTCTTGAAAACCAGAAAAGAACATTTTCTTTGGTAAAAGATGTGATAGACAGTCCTAGTAGCTGATGATTAGATTCATACCTCTGTGTTCTCATTCAAGGCTATTGCCACTGAGATCTGCAAAGGTCTCACAGCCTGCTGAGCCAGCTCCTGTACAACTCACCAGCTTCCCCCCACTCTCCATCACAGTTGCTTTGTTTCTATAGCCCAGACACTAGGATTGCTGGGTCTCCAGGCTACACAAGGGTTGATGGCCTTCTAAGAAAGTGGTCTTTGCCTCAGTGAGTCTGTAAAATGAAGGTATCAACAAGCAATCCTCAGAGGTGTCAAAGGATCTACAACCTGTGTAAGAGTAAGCCTGATGCTTAAGTCTTTGCAAGACAGATGAGTTACAGTACAGAGCTTTTTAGCTTTTTAAATGACCCTTCTAACTTCTGAGAAGCTGAAGTGCAGCCTGAATGTAAACCTCCTGTGGACTTTTATCAAAAGGTTTGATAGGGCTTTTTTTCCTTTCTTTGAAGAACCTGGTCCAAATTATCTGAAAAGCTTAATATATATGATAAAGAACAAAGCTACAAAGTCAAAAGGAAGGTTTAATTTGTTTCTTACTCCCTGGCAGCTTTCTCCCTTCTGAGTGGAGACACAACAAACAAAAATCTACACTTAACTACAGTGATTTTCCATGTCATCCTCCCCTGGCAAGCGCCTAGCTTGTCCTGCCAAGAACCAAGGGTCACAGCTCCCCCAACAGCCACCTACAAGTACAGCATCACGAACCACTGGTATTCATTCTTTATCCTAAAGTAAACTCATTTTTCCTTATTTGCAGGTGTCCTTCACTGCATGTAGGACGAAGTCCTCTGAGCACTACTGCTGTGCTGCTGTCCAATGGCAGACAGGAGAGGAGGGGAACAGCTCACCACAGCTCCTGCCAGGCTTGCTGCCATGATCCTGCTAAAGCCAACTTTGCTTTTGTCAAAGAAGTAACTGTGTTTGTCCTCAATGTACCAGTCTGCACCACCAATTAAATAAAAGTAAAATTTATTTGGTATAGGACAGAAAAATAAGGAGAACAAAGTCACTTAAAAAATAAATGTTAAGCAAAAAAATTCACAGAACTAGATTAATATTTTATAAAAACCTCAAACTTTAAGCATCTGATAGAAATGTTACTTTCTGCTCAGCCTGTTTTATATTTCCCTCTCTCTTGTGTGGCTTTGGAAGTCCAAATTTAGATGTCTTCCTCTGCATGCATTAGTTTACACTAAGGAATATTTACCACAGACAAACTGTATTTCAAAATGGCAACACTCATAAAAGGTTACTCTCTTAAGACATGCAGTTTCCATTTTTGCTTTTTTAATCTGCATACCTACCTGCTGCATACTCACTGAGACAATAAACACATGCCCTGCTTCTGCCTGAGTTATTCCAATACTCCCCTCTTTGCCAATGCTCCAGTTTAGATTTTAACTGAATGGTCCAAACACATCCATCTTACAGGCTACAAGATCCTTGTTTTCTTCCAATGTACATGAAGAACCATGTACATGAATTTGCAATTGAAGTGCTCCTCAATATCTCAGGTGAGAGATTCTACTTACTTTCTGCTGAATACTGTTTGAAAGATTAAAGCTCACACAATCTGTGTTACATAGAGTCAATGTACCGCTGTAACAGGTTGTTTGCACCCAGCTGTGAGACAAGGGTGTTCACACCACTGTGATGTGGAAGTACAAAATGCACATTTTATACAGTATTTTTTACTCTAGGATTGGTAACAATATTCAGCTGATTTGTTTCTATTTCCTTGAGCAATCTTCTCTTTTCCAGTGTCCTGTGGCCAAGGACCACTCTAGGTCTCTCAACATTTGACATTCTGCTTGAAATAATCTGAGTTTGATCACTTATTTCCATTTTCTACCTCCAAGGCAAAACTTCCATGCTTCTGTACAGAAGATTGTTGTGTTACAATAGCTTTGATGTGCAATAACAGTTTAGCTCCTTTGTCCTCTGCTCCAAGATGGATCTGCTTCTGCAAGTGTCACCCAAACAGTTGATGCTGCAAGGAGAAACTACTGCCCAGTTTTTTAAGTGACAGTATAAGGAACTTCTTTCACAGTGCTGTCTTGCAGAAAAAAACCAAACCTTATGATTCTTTTAGTGTTGGGAAATTCTGGCTTTTAAACAAGAACTTTGAGATGTTATTTATTTCATTTACAGAAATGCACACTTCCTGAATCACAAGCTGAGTTTCCTTCAACAACTCTGGACATTCCTCATTGTGACCTCTTCTCCCAGTGGTTGGTGCAAAAAGTCATAACAAACATAACATGTGCCTTCTTCCAAAAATATAGAGGAGAAATTAATTTTACATGGTACAAAAGTTATTCTCATTTTATTTATAGAGTTGAATTAAAAACGAACATCTGTGGCCGTTGTCATGCAGTGCGAGCCTCAGTGATAATATAAGAAGACAGGTTGAGGTGTGAGGGTTTATAATACAATGCTATCAGAACAAACCCAGGAAACCTTACATGCAAGCAGTGAATCAAATTTAGTTCCATAACCTATGCAACCACACTGAAGTCAGCTGGGCTGTGTGGACAGCAGCATCAGACACTGGTTTTGGGACAGGTCTGAATTTTGAGAGCAATACCAGCAACTGACTGTGAAGCCAACCAGTGCCCACATACACCTCACCTACACACTGAGCTCCACCTGGAGTTAGCATTACAACAACAGCAGGGCTTGGCTCAAACACTGTAAAATGCTACTGTCGGCACTATTTAGTTAGGACCTGGAAGAGCAATGTCTATTAATTCTTCTATTGAGACACAGAAAAGTTGACTAAAAAGTCATAAGGCACCATTGATTCAACATGTTTTGTATTATTCTTTTTTAACACTTCATAGTGAAATAAATACTAGAATACTGATCATATTGTAAATAGCTACTGCTACATGAAGCAATATATTGTATGATAAAATGCTGCATTGTTCTGGAATATATCTAGGGACTTTTACAGCAACACATATAAATGGAAATGCTGTTGTTATGTAACAAAAATGCCCCTTTTTGCAGGATTAAGCTATTTTACATGTATGCCAAACATCTATTCTGAAGAGGTTTCTAGAGTGAAAAAAATTGCTAAAGCATAAGCAGCTCAGGATTCTTGGCTTGTTAACTGGAGGCCTTTTACACGGCCCATTTTAAAGTGAAACTGAAGCTGGTTTTCCAAGTCTTTGATAGTGGTCCAGATTTCTGGTCAGCAAACGTTGCTGCAATGATCAAATATAAGACAATTTTAATGATACAGAGAACTGGCAGACCACTGGGCAACATTTTCATTGACTTAGCAAAGAAAAACAGTCATGTTGGAAGCAGGTAAGTTATAAAAAAGATATTTCTGAAGGCTTGGGGTTTTTTTGGCTGCATAGCTATTTGGATATTAACAAGGATTTGGCAGGTTAAGGTACTGAAAATATTGTATTCTTAAATTCAAAATATTGTTCCTTAGAAAGGTATTAAGTGCTTCAGTTTTAAAATATGAATAGAATAATTTATCCTTTAAGTTATTATCCTAAAAATCTTATTTGGACTTTTATTCACAAAATAATATCCCAAAGAGACAGGCACTTTAAGTGACATCCATAAAATACATATACAAATTCAGCATTGTGCCAGGTTTGATCCCAAGGTGCACCTGTTATGTGGAGGTCCCACCAGTATCTGTTTAAGAAACTCTTACAGCCAGGATCCTGCAACTGGATGTAGATACATCCCTGCGCCTGCGCATTTAATTGCAGGTTCAAGACCATAAACAGTAAGTTAAGTCATTAGATACAAAAAATGTAAAAACAGGTACATAATCAAATGCTATCACAGCTAACAAGATTTTGTAAACAAACACTGAAAAGACCAAATTAAATTTGATCTGGCCAAATCCAACTCTAGTCTCATCCCCTGCAATGTGATGTCCAGGCTGCCAGGCAGAAAGCAGTTCTGCCCCTCCCTGCTCACAGACAGAGCGAAAAAGCCCTATGCACAGACATTTCAGCAGGGTCCAGACTCTTTGGCTAAATTCTCTAGATTTTCAAGAACTGACCTCATTCTAGCCACAGAGTATACTTAGGATCATGTCTCCCATGCTAGAGAAACATTTTCTTAACCTACATGACTAGTTTCTATGTTTTATTTTGGATTTTTTTGAGCAACATCCTGTGAAACATGGCTGCTGACACAGGCTTGGTAAGGATGCCAAAGAACACACTGAAGATATCTACTGCTGATGAGAGCGAGGGGACATTTTTCAGAGCTAAACTTCAGAGGCCTGAATAACAAAGAGCTATCATTCACCAGTATTTCAAATCCAAAATGACAATCTTCCTCTAATTTCCAAAGGCATTTTATACACACTTAGATCCACTTGTAAAATTCACTCATACTATGAGATCTTTTCTCACACACAAAATTCAAAAGCTATTAAACATATTAACCACAATGTTAGAATACTTTACTTTCTTCTATCAATGTAAGCCTTGCCACTTTCTGTTGAGACTCCTTCCAGCAAAGTTTGAAAGGACAGGCTTCATGACCAACTCAGAAAACCAAATCTGCCCATTTTTCTTGAACCACCACAGATGGAAAATTTTTGATGCTCCCAGTTCAATGTACAAACCCTGGACCCCCCTCACACCATCAAAGGGCTTTCACTGAGGAACATTTTTGACCTTGGCTTCTCTGCCATAATGGAAGTCAACCAAGCTCTCTGAGACTTGTGACCTAAGTGCCAAGAAGCTTCTTAAGTCAAACCCCATCATTTAATTGTACCAAAGAAACAACTGGAAAGCAGTCTGTGGAGTACTGGCATTAGTGATGCTTTACAGGAGGAGCCTACAACTATAATAATTGCTGGGTTTGCACTCAGACTACTTTCTGAGGACTCTTCGCATGCAGTATCAGGCAGAGGGCATTACAGTAATCCAGGGCACGGATGACATGATGTGGGTTGGTCCACATAAGAGTAGGAAAGAATTAGGTCACACAACATGTAACTCTATTAAAAAAATAGGAAAGAGGGTTAAAAAAATATATATTCTTATGCTGATGAATTCTTCCCTTGTGCTTTTCTTTGGAAGATTCTCTGTAGAAAAAAAAGGCCAGAGACACTCCATCCTTGAGGCAGGATGTGCTGTGCATTGTTTAAGGTTTGCTTGACTAAGTTGAAGTAAAAAAGTTAAAGATGAACTCTTTGTCACCATGTAGTAGGTCTATGGCTTGCAGAAGCAGATAGGCTGAGTAAGCATGCAAAGAAGGATCCAGGGGACTCTTGGCTACACTTTTTTACCCAGCAACTGTTTTTTTAAACACCAAATACTTTATCATTAAAATAATATGGCTACTGTACCCAAAGTGAATGAAACAACTTTGTTCAAGCTCTATCAAATTCAAAGCCAGATCTCCCACGGAGCTCTCCAGGGAGTGGGGTTGGACACAGTAAGCATGATGCACATAAGGTCTGTAGGGTCCACAAAATGCCTGCAGTTTAAGCGAATAAAATTCATAGCTTTGAGCAACTATAGTCCATAAGCCGTATCTATTACTTCTGTAATAGAGACTGAAGTTTGTTCCAGCTGACAAGCCAAGAGTGGAAATCAATCAAGACAGACAACTTTCCAGTCATGTGGACAGGAGAGCTGACTTGAAGGAAACTTGCAAACAGACGTCACCCAAAGATGGGCCAGAACCCATTTCACCTTGGTATAGGTGGGAGTGGGGGGGCACCCCTTTCTTTTCGGACAGACCCACCTAAAAGAGAAAGAAGTTTTTTTGTGTTACTCCTTTGAAGGGAGAGTCTACATCCAAGCAATTAATTCAGTAACTGGTGAAGATCTACTAATTTCCATGCCTAGCCATTAAAAACAAATTTTAAAAAAATCAATCTTTGTGTAGAGTTTCTGGTTAGTTATTAAACAACATCAGAACTTCAAACACTGTAAAGTAATGTTTTTAACTCATGCCATCCCTAATTCCTGGAAGACACATGTATTTTGGTCCACTGTCCCCTTCCCAAAACAGACTGATAGTTCTTGTTAGCCTTACTAATTTATGTGAACACACAACTTCTCAGTGCTACTTGCAATACCTGCAAGCCTCAACAAAAAGTGGCAAGCTCTAAACACAATAAAATTTCAAAGTTTTTAATGTTTTTCCCTATATGAAGGTTTTCAGAGCAAACTCATAAAAGGAAACACAAAAAAATGTGCATGTTACTTTGCCTTCTTTTGTGGACTAATAGAAATGGGATGAAAGCTAACAGAGCAAAGTCAGAGACTAACAGGAAACTCTGCTTCAAACCAAAACTTTGGTTCACAACAATTCATTGAAATTCCAACTTACCTCTACTGTCATTTCTTGCTAGTTTACTTGGATAACTTCTGTTCATGGGTACATATGGCTCTGGAGGTGGCAAATCAGATATTGGATGAAAAGAAAATCTGCTTTCCCATTCATCTGAAAAAAATCCCATGCAATTTACTCATTAGTTTTCTGACATAGCTTAGGAAAGTAATTAAAATTGACATAATGTTTGATGCATGTTTTATATTGCAAAACGCTTACACAGCTGAGTACTGAACCAGCATTCTCTTAGAAAGTCAGGGAAGATGTTGTTTTAGGTTAATTTGGGAAAGAAAACTTTTATCAACTTTAACTGATCATTTTACCAATTTAATGTAAAATCACAGATCAGGAAAACAGCTACAATTCCACTAAAATAAGTCTTACTCTTTCTTCCATGTATAACAGATCTAGTTTTTTAACACATACACACACACACTGTGGTACCAGAACTGCCTACTTCAGTCTAAAGTCTGAAGTTTCTCCTACTTCAGAACAGTACTTTGTTCCTGGTATAGAATTTACCAATATTCATCTATCATTGACATACCAAGATCAAAAGCTTCATCAAAATCACAGTCCAATAAGCACTGTTTATTCTCTCTTAATATTTATACTGGAAGAAGAAAAATAACCTTTATGCTAAAATTTATGTCAGAGAATCCTGTATATAACTAGCGTCAAAAATGGAAAAATACATCACTTGAAGTTATATCTCTTTAGACTACAGAGGCACTTTTGCTGTACTTACTGAGTCTATAGAATTCTAAATAAAGCAAGCTGACTAGTTTCTACATTGAAATAATAGGAAATGTTCCAAGAGCTCTGTTCTGCGCCTGATTTTGAAAGCCTAAGGAAGAAAGTAATTTCTTCACTTGCTTGCTTCAGGACTTTGCAATCATAACTTTCTTGTGATATTGCTGCATTTTACTACATAATGTAATGAACAGCTAAGTTCTACTTGTACATGTGGTTATTTGCTGGATCCAGCTTTTCCATGTTTACTCCCAATAGCTGCAATCAGAAACCAGTGTCTAAAGGAGCTGCATTTTCTGAACCCTGCAAATGACTTGTGTAGGAAGAAATATGCCTGTGATCCTTCTGCCTTACCTGATGTGTGAAGATGTTTCAAAAGCGTGAGTTATAGTTTCATTTTCTGTTCGCTTTTTTCTAACCTTATAATTGTCAGGAATACCAATTTTGGCCTCCTGTAATCAACTCAAGGGTTTATCTGTTCTATGCAAATAGAAAACAATTAAAAAGAAAAGCATGACAAATCCTTAAAACACAGCAATCTTGGACCTCATCTTTTTAATAAACACTAACAGAAATAGATACTTGACATTTTCAGCAATGTTCTGATAATCTCTTCCCTCATCTGTTTTTCAGCTTTCAGCTTTTGAGTCATCTAACTTGTTCAGACTTCCAAAGTGTCACTGTAGCTGTGGTTTGAATTCATATTAGAGTTGAAACAATCCCCTTCCTTTTTTCAGGGTATTTTTCAAAGGGTTATTTTAGAGACTGTATTGATTACTTTGCAATTCTGCTCTATGTATAGCATATTTATTCTGTTCTTACTTGCCAAGGTTGAGACCCAAGTGACACCTCTGTTGGTCAGAAATCAAAGGTTGGAACTAGAAACAAAGCCTCTATTCCAAACCTTTTTTGAGGTATTAGGGCCAAAAGCCACTACACCTTCTCTATGGAGGGCAAAGAGCTGGGAGGATGGCTCACCATCACCTGGATCCTGGAAGCCGTTTCTGACAGCTGCTGAAGGTGGCGGTGGCGGCGGTGGCGCTGCCGAGCCCGGCCGGTCGGGGGGAAGCGGAGGTCGCGGTCCCCCTCTCTGGCTGTCCAGCCCTGCCCGGGAAGGCAGCTGGGGAGTAGTGGGCAAAGCCCTCGAAGTGCTTCCGTTCCTGCTGATGGGAGGAGGTGGTGGGAGCGGGCCTAGAGCAAGGCAAAAGCAAGCACATAAATGCTGTTAACACCAGGGGTTACTCTGGCAGTGGAGAGCCACCGAGGGCATCCCAAGGCCTCCCGCTAACAAAAAGGGCTGTTTTAGGACCCTTGGCCCCAAGGGGTTATGGCCCTTCAGCACTCACTTCCCTGCTCTCCATGGCTCTCTAGGGATTTCGGGCTGATTTGGGGAGTACAGCTCAGAGGAGCAGGATGTATCCAAACACAAATACACTGCACAGTCTATGTTCGCACTCCCCCCAGCTATAGAAGCCTCTGCAGAGATCCTGGTCCTCAAAGCTACTTTTAAACCACTCTAAATTACCAGTGGACACAAGAACCACACAAAAAGCTTGCCACACAAGCTAAGAAGTCACAGCTGAAATTTAGGGCGCTGTGGAGGTCCAAACCATAACCCATTTCCTTTCTATGTACCACTGCAAGGCACGAGGACGTGCAGCAGAAGACACCTGCTACCTTCAGAGGCTCCTTGTCCATAGGGGTGGTCCCCTCTGCGTGTCACAGCCAGGGTCTGTGGTGGCACACAGGGGAGCTCTCTCCAGGAGTGGCTGCATTAAGCAGCAGCTCATCAGCTCACTCATTTATAAACAAATGAGCTGTGTGACAGGTTTTTCGGTAGTTGGAGCATATCCATCTCCCTGTAAAATGGAAACAGACCTCACACAGGCTGGCATTTCCAATGCCTGTGAATCCGTAACTGGCACGGACATGGACAGGTCAAATATGAAGGCACAGCCTATGTAATATAGAGCCAGGGCTGTCCTGAGGGCAGGGGAAGGGTGCTTCTACATGGAAAGTAAATAAAGACAGGAAAGCTGCTTCTGCCAGGGAGAGAAGTGCCCGTGGTTAGGATACAAGAAGGTGAAGCAGAGGGTGTGGAGAGTTATGCATGCTTGAAAGTTTCACTAACCTCTGTTTGGAGCAGTTGGGCAACTGGCAATTATATTAATTTTCAATAAATGCTTCCCTGTGTTGATGAAATCTATCTACAGACATGCACTTTGAAAAAGAGAGCAGTAGATACTGTGTCTCCAGCAACAAGCATTGAAATGTTTCAAGAAACATGCTGTACTCTGTGTATTTTTGCTCCCCTTCTTACTTTACAAATTACTAAATTTTGCCTTCAGGACATGGTTTCAAAGAATGAGAAGCATTCAGCAACTTCCAGAATAGTTTTGCTTACTCTTTCTAAACCTAGCTAAACTCCATTGTCTATACTGAACTGCTGCAGAATAGGTGTATTTATGTTTAGAATGTATTGCTACAACTTCCTTCTACTTACTGAACTAGACTTGAGCCAGAAGAAAGTTAGTGTAGGTTTGCTAAAACCACGTGCCTCAGAAAAGGGTCAACTAGGAAAGTACTGGCAGAAACCAAGGCCATCACAGAACAAACTTGGAAGTGACTTAATAATTGCAGACACTCTCTGCAATTTGATCCAACCCCCCCAGTCAATTTTAATGGGATTTCTCTGATTTATTTACAACATGCTGCACTAGCATTGTGCCATCCTGTGGGCTGGCAATCAGCTCCACAAAGCATAGTTTCAGGGCCACTATTTTCTGTAGCTGCACAGCTGCTGTAGGTGTTGGAGATCCAGGATGGTTCAAGGAGCTGGAAAGCTCTCAATGTCTATGGGAGCACCCACGGCATGAATTTCTATTGTCTAGGACAGGCAGGCTAGAGATGATTTCTGAGTTTATTCCAATGAAATTAATGATGAAATGAAGACAGCTCTATGGAGTTTCCCAGCAGTATCTTTTGTGCAATGTTTTTCTCTACCTGATGTTACAGGGCTCGATTGTGCCTAAATTCTCTCATCTCCAGAGGGACAACTGTCAGGTATTAGAGAGCTGAGTTATGATGTGCAATTCTTAAAAGTTATGAACAATAGTTGTCACAGAGGACAAAGTACATTATGAAATTGCTCAAAGGAGACAATCCTACTTTTAGTCTAATTTGATATCTACATATGGTAAGTAACAACACTTAGTCATGCTGTAACAAGTGCTATTACATTTAACAACTGTTGGCTAGGTCTTTTATTAAAGCTATTTGTATTTGACTGTGTTTGTGCCTCTGAACACGTAGAAGGTCAAGTTCCACGAACCTCCACTCACGACAACACGACCATTAAATCTTGTTGGTTGACTCAGGAAGTCAGATGCAGTCACTTTACCAGAAGCTTCTTTGCATCAAGAACGTAATGGGGAAATCCACTTACAACCCTTTTCAAATTGACTACACCTCTTTTCAAGTGACTATAATGAAAGTTACCAAGATTTGTACAAGCACACGTGAGCACACTGGTGATGCACTTTGACTTTCTTAAGCCACCGTGATGCCCATAAACCCTTGCTTCCAGCTGCAGAATCCCTAGTGCCTAACAGGGATGTCATCCTGGGATGCGTTTGTTGTGCAGGCGAGGCTGGTGCTGGCACGGCCAAAGCCCTCTCTCCCGTGCCACCGGTCCCGACCAAAGCCCCCTCTCCCGTGCCAGCTGTCCCTGCTCCCCACCTGAGCGGCCGGGCGGGTCTCTGACGGGCGGCGGCGGCCTCTCGCCGGGCGGCGGGGGCAGCGGTCCGGA